CCCCTCGATCGCGCCACCCCTCACCCCCTTCCAACAGGAGACGCGCTTTGTGGGCGAGCGCCCCGTGGCCTCCGCCGCTGGGGAGACCCCCCTCGGCGTCACCGAGAGGGTGGGCGGGTGCACGCATTTCTGTCGCACTTCCAGGGTTCAGGGGCCAGGGGCTTCCGCCTGGACCTGCCATCCATGTTTGTCGCAGCCGTACATCGTTGTGCTTGGGTGCCCCTCCTGTGCACAGCCCTCGCCCGGCCTGCCGACGCGCTCATCATGGATGTGGGCTTATGGATGGTCGCGCATTTGTGCACGGTGATTGAGTTGCCATACGCGCGCACGCGCACACACTCTCACACTCACATTCACAACCACACTCTGCAGGTGGTCGAGACGACCGAGCCAGGGCCCACCTGCCCCACCCCCGGCGCCCCGATCCAGAGCGTCCAGGTGCGGCGCCACGCCACAGTCCCCGCCCCATCTGTCCCACCCCCCTTGCTGGGATTCATGCTGCCCCGCGGGCATCGACGCCCTGCACGTTTGTCCTCACGCAGCCCTGAAGCCAAGCCCGCCCCGTTGGACCCCGGCCACGCGATCCCCTGCTGCCCTGTGCCCGCTTGTGCCCGCTTGGAGTGGCTGAGTATCAGATTGCCGCAAAACACGTTGCAAGCCCAGGTCATCACCGCACGCGCGCACACACACACACACGCACCTGCAAGCGTGCACATTTGCCCGTGCACTTGCTCACACACCCGTCCCCCCGCCCCCTTGCCCCCACTTGAAACCTCCCTAAAGGGCGAGCACATCGGCCATGTTGCGCGCGACCGCACAATGGACATCTGAGAAGGTCCCCGGCTTGCTGGTGGGGGCTGCGACAGCAGCAACAAGGTGGGGGACCACCGCTCCCAACTCCGGACAGTGGGAACGTGATGCTGAGCCGCGTGCGCGTCGGCGTGCGCGTGTGTGGCGCTGCGATTTTGAGCTGGATAGTGGGGGCTGTTGGACAGAGTTGAGCCGCTGGGGTCGCCGGCAAGGGTGCAAGTAGGGTGTGCATGTGGTAGCGGCAGTGTCGAGTGCGATTTTATCGCAGCTTGGTGGTCAAGCTCCGGCCTCCTGAGGTGGCCAGGCTCCAGGCCTCCAAGCGACAATTGCCTGTGTGAGAGCTTGCGCCCACCTGACAAACACAGTCATCCACATCGTGCGCGCGTTTCGCGTATCGTTGCAACACCTGGACACCTTGATGACCCGAATTTGCCTCCATTTGTCAAACCCACGCCCCTGCACAGTACGCAGCAGCGAGCGCTGGACAAGCAAGCGTGCCACCAATCCCGAGCATCCCAGGGTCGCCCCGACGCTCTATCGGCGCGCTCAGCTGCAGCTCGGTGCCTTGCATAACGGAGGTTGATTGGGTGTGCAAAGCGCTTTGATTGCATGAGATGCGCTGGTGAACATCGCGGGCTGGTCTCATGTTAAAAAGGCACTTTAAGCATGCACTCTTTGACTGTGGTTTCGCCTGTCTTGTCATGATACCAGAGTGTTTACGACGACAGCCGCCTCCGCCCGTCACAACCGCTTGAAGGCGCAGTCCGACCTGTTTTAATGGTTGCGCTGCGATTTTGCCATGTTGGATTTCCCTGGGATTGCCTGCCACGCATGGTGAAAGCTTGAGCTGGGCAAGTCGGCTGATCTTTTTCCACCTGTTGTCAAGGCCCGGATTTGGGCTCGCCCAGCCCCAACAACACACCCAACCTAGGTGTGTAGCCAGAGTTGTTCAGGAGCGTTGGGCGGTGCTTATGCATGCCGCTTCAAGTTGTAAGTCAAGCAAAACATGAAGATTTGTGTTGCCCCGTCAGCTCAGTGCTGGATCTGGCCTGCGATGCTGAGGTGGCAGGGCACTGTGAGTAGCGGCTGCATGACCCGCCACTGCACAGACTGGCCTGAGGCTGTCCAGCGCCCCTTTGCCCGGCCTGTAAAGATGGATGGCAATCTTGATGGGTGTGCTGCACTATATTTTTGACAAGCGGCACTGCATTGGCCTGAAGGGTCTGGTTGGTTGGTGTCACACAAGCTGCAGCATCCGGAGAGTCACGGCTCCCGGGATACTCATCGCCCGCTGGGCTGCAATGCGACCTCGTGATATGAAGAATACATTGTATTCTAGCTCATATCCGACTACTAGCGGCTCACAGCGATACGACATTTGCGCACATCGATCCCTCGAAACAAACCTCCGTGACTCGAAACTCCGCAACCCGACCAACAAACATGGGTCTCGGTCAGAAGATCAAGGCAAGCTTTGAGTCCATTGCAGGCCGCTTTGAACAGCAGTATTGTCGGCGTTGCTCCACTGGCGTGGCTGCGCGCGCACGCGCACGCACATGCATGTCAATGCACGCACGCACGCATGTGCGACCGGGCTGACCCCCAGCGCCCTGCCCCCAACCCCTGCAGGACGTCGTGCACCGCCACGGCTCGGTGCGCGATGCTATATATGCTGGGACACACGCCTGTCTGACACGCTTTGGGTTGCTCGACAAATCCCAGAGCCCGAATTAGCCCTGCTGACGCAGCCCATGTCGCGTCAGCGCCAGAAGTGACCCCCTTCCCCTGGCCCCTGGGCGCATTATGCATGGGACATGCCTCCTATCATGGCTGCCACGCCGCCACCGTTCGCTTGCGCCCACCGTCCACAGCTTGCAGCAAGCAGTCGGCCTTCCATACTGGGGGTTGCATCCACCCCACCCGGGGGAGGGCCCACTGGCAACCAGCCCTACCCCACCATTTTCCCAAACCCCCGCTGTCACCCCCTATTGCTCCCCTGACCCCTCTCTGGGCTCCCAGGACTCCTCCTCCTCCGATTCTGGCCAGGAGGGCGCCGCCTACCAGACGCGCGGGGCCGTCAACGGTGAGAGCACGCAGCCATGATCGCCTGGTCGGTTGAGTTTGCATGGATGCGGCGGGCCCCGCGTCGCCTGCGCGCTGACGCCGGTTGCATGGCACAGCGCGCGCGTTCCCCTTTGAGCTCAGCCCTCCGGTCAGCAGGGGTGGGGTTGTTGTACAGACTCACGCGCGACCCTTGCTGAGGCTGTACAGCGGGATCCCAAACTGCTGGACTGGCCAGGCTCCTTTGATTTGCCTTGGGGGCGACCCTGGCAACGTCTCCCCCCCCACCCAAAACAAACTCTCATCGGGGCCCCGCTGTTGCTGAACCCACTCCCATCCCTGCACCCCGCCCTGCCCACAGATGAGGTAACCCCCACCACTCAGGACACCACCCCCGAGGTGCGCCGTCGCCGCACGCGGCGCGCGAGCGCGCTGTAATCACATGGGCATGTGTGATAGTGCCCTCCTCGCACGTCGGGCCAGCTGCGTATCGCGGCCGGCTAATATATGCTTGCCAGAGTGTTGTTGCACCCAACAGCCCCCGCAGACGCGCCATTGTAATGTCTAAACAACTGAAGCCACACACACGCTTCTGTGTGTCAGTTTTTCCCAGCCTCTTCTTGTCTTTTGGCCTCTTTGAATTGTAACAGTGCTTGGCCCCGCACAATCCCCTCGATTCCCTCCATCAGGTGATTGCCTTGCGCGAGCGCCTCAGGGCAGAGCGCGCGGCCGAAGATCCCAACGCCCCCTCGGCTGACTGCGGCACCTCTGGCTTTGACAACCCGCAGACCCGCGGCCTGGGCGGCACCGGCGCCGGCGCCGGCATCAGCACAGGCACCGGCGGCGGCGCTGGCTTCGACGGCACTCCCATGTCTGGCGCCGTTGGCGCGGGCACCGACTACGACAGGACACGCGGCACCGGCGTGGCCGGCCTGGGCGGCGACACCGGCAACATCGGCGGCGCCGGCCTGGGCGGTGACCTTGGCAACACCGGCGGCGCTGGCACCGGCGCTGGTTACGGCTACGACACGCAGAGCGCCGGCATGGAGGGCCCCGGCGGCGCGCGCCACCCGGGCATGAAGGAGCGTATCGCTGGCAAGGTGGAGCAGGTGGCTGACCGTGTGAAGGGTGCCGCCGGCTCGACCCGCGAGAATCAGGTGGGGCGGTTGTACTTGAGAGGCATCAGCAGCTACTCAGCAAATCCATACCTCGGGCTGTCTATTGCCTTGGTGTTCCGCACCTGTTTGCAAAGATGCATAGCCGGTGGGACTGTGGGGAGTTGGAATTAGGAAGATGCTATGCCTGATTCGAGCAGTGTTCGAGCTCGCGTCGTAGACGCTACATCTAATCTAACATTAGACGCTGGTAGCACCAGCTATACACTTGCTGCTGACTGGGAAGTGTGCCCCTGCCCCCACCACCCCTCCAACAACAGGAGATGCGCCAGCAGACCGCCGCGGGCGGCAACACCTACGGCTCTGGTGACCCCTACCTGGGTGGTCAGGGGGTGAGTCGCGCTGTCAGCCTTGACAGAAGCTGACGCTGATACTGCTTTGGATACTGCTGTTGCAAAACTTGCAACAAGCCGAACACTGGTCGCTTGTCGATGGCAAGACGAGGGGCATGATGGGCCTGACTGGTAAAGTGTACCAACGGGCATTCAAGGCGGACACAGCTAGGTGTTGCCCCCCTTAGATTTGGTGTCACAGCGTGCGCAATCTATATGCAACTTGCAGTGAGTATGCTTACCACCTGTGTGCCAAGCGCCTCGCTCAAGCATCCATCACTGCAAATCTGCAACATTTTGCAGGGGACCGGGGGTGCGGGGCTGGGCTCTGCCATGAACAACCCTGACTCGGCCTTCCCCACAGACAACGTGAGGGGACCTCTTTTGCTTTTTTTGTCTTGGGGGTTTGTCCAGGTTCTTGTGTGTGCAGACCTGCAGCATGTGACCTGTATTGCTCCCTTCTCCCACCTGCCGCATGTGACTTGCATTGCTCCCTTCTCCCTACACCTCTTTGTGTTGTGGTCGGGCTCTGTTGATAAACTTTTGCATCCCCTCGCCTTCACAACCAAGCAGGGGGAGCGCATCGGGCGCGGGGGTGAGGACCGCAACCTGCAGTACTGAGCAGCTTATGATGGGGAGATGGAGGAGGTGAGACAAACGGGATTTTGGGTGGATGGCACATCTGAGGTGCAGCACAACGGAATGGGTGTTGCGCTTATTCGCCTCCTGATGATGGTTGTCAACATGTCGGATGTACATTCACATGATAGTACACACAAATGGTTGTGCCACCTTCCATGTTCATTTGCCTGCAGCCTCATCCTGTTCATGCACCTCCTCACACACTTGCTGCCTGCAGGATGAGCAGACGCTACCAAGCTGAGCTCGACGTTCTGCAGAGCAAGGGTGTTGACAATTTTGTGCAGGCAGTGCCTGGGGGCGACTGTTGTGCTTTGATTTTGAAGGATGTGAAGTGGTGTACATCTGGAGTGTTGTGACACAATTTCATTAGGTGAGCTTTTTGTACACTATATTGATAGGGGTGGATTCCACCACTCCTGGCTTTGTTTTGTGTGGTCTTTGCAACATCAAGGACGTGGGTACGCGCAGGACAGCCTATGCTGTGACTGTCTTGCATTGAAGTGATGACTTGTCAAGAGAAGGATGGTTTTGTGCTGTCCTGGCACTATGCTTGCCGTGCTGGCTGATAGCTTGTTGTCGGCCCTGCCCTTGGATGCACCAACCCAAAATGGTGCGTTCAGTGAAGTGGTCTGATGGTGTGCCTGCCAGCATTATGACCGTGTTGGCCAAAATTTTGGCTTGTTGTAACCGCGACATTGTACTGAAATGGGGAACAGTCATGCGCCCGTTGTCAGGCTTGGAACTGGCAGGTTACACCAGCTATGCACGTTTAGTGTCAAGCAGCCAGCACGAGAAAAAGGTCTTATGCTTCTACAACAAACACCTCACTTCGCTAAGCTTGAACTGTGGCAAAGAACTTTCGGATCGTGCATCGATCAGCGCTTAGCAGCCGCTACGGTTGTAATTGACGCTTCAACGCGGCCGCCAAAAGACCTCAGCATAGATTGTCATGAATTCATGCGCACACCTCCGTGGTGGTCAGCCCCAGAGCAGCCCCCTTCAATAAGCAGATCCTTTTTCTTGATCCTTTTCTCTGGGGCTAACATCGTCGGCAACCTTCTGCGGATCAGATCACTTCTGGTTGTTGACCCGCAGCAGCTGGATTTCAAACAGCAGGGGCTCCCGCGAGTGGTTTGCGAGCTGGCGCCGCGTGGCAAAGGTGGGGGGCTGGGGCTGCAGCGCGCTGCTGGTGTAGCCCAGCTCTGGGGGCACCAGGGCGCGCCGCCGGCCGCCCGTGGACATGCCGATGAGCACCTGGCGTTTGTTCAGGGGGGGGGTGTTGGACGTCAAGTGAAGGACAAGTGCTGTCTGCACAGCATGATAATTGATTGTGCGGACTCCATGCAGTGCGCTTCTAGGCACACACTGACACTTTTAGTACCGGGCGAGCAGCGAGGAACGACTGGATTGGAGTCCATGGGGTGTGGTCCAGCTGATCCATGCACGCGCAGCTGGGCTGAGCTCGCAGGTGCCGCCCGGTTGTACAGAGCACATGCTGCCGGGACTCAATGTGCAGCCAGGGATTGGGCAGCACAGGCCAGCAGGGCGCAGCCGCACGAATCGCCACTGCACGAGGCAGCAGACGAGACGCGGCCGGGCACACCCCTGGCCTGCGTTTCTCCCGCCCACCTCCTCCAGGCCGGGGATGAGGGTGCCGTCCCCCAGGCGGAAGGCCACGGGGCCGACGGGCACGTCGCGCGGTTGGAAAGACACACCCTCGAT